ATTGACTATTCAGCTCTATCATAATTGTACTATACATTTATTATGGATCAGAATTTGTAATTTATTGGTTTTTCTACTTTTGTGACAACATTGACAAATCTGAATTTAATTTTAGAGGGTATGTTTTGATGTGTGTCTTGTTGAATAAAAGTAACAAAGCAACAAAATTTTCAATCCATATATCTTAATTTTTATTTACATATTGAACAATTCATATTCAACACATTACTTATACTTCCTTTTTTTTTTATATTACAGTTTAGGACTCTCGTAACAACTTAAGCAAAATTTGTTGGTTATGCAAACTTAATGGATTAGACTATTTCACTAAAATATATAAATTATGTAAAAAAAGGTTGTCAGTAAAAATCTCACTAAAAATTTCATTTGAGTATATACTAATTCTAGGTTTGTTAGTTCTATGTACTCATTTACACAGTAGATTTCAGTACTAAAAACTTGATTGATTCATTGATTAAAGGAAAAAGGTTCACTTTCTGGGTTTTCTTTTTGTTCATTTGAGGCTTTTCATGTAAAAAGAAAATATGAATAAAAATGGATTAATTCAGTGCAGGAAAAAATTAGAAAATGGTCAGTGACACATGCCCTAACCTACTTTATGATCAACATCGAGCTATGGACACAAATCATTGACATTTTTTTGTAATTTGAAAATTTTATAATTCTTGAATAGACCATGGTCGGTCCAAGCTCGTAGACTAGACACCACCACCAGACTCCATATCTTATCTATATACATTTTCAATGAAATCAAATATTGACCAAAACTTTACAATCATTAATAATATACTGTTTATGGTGTCATTATGTGACAAAAAATACTGTTATATGGTGTCATTATGTGAAATTCTTGAGTCAAACATTTTAAGAGTTTTAATACACGTTTTTATATAATGGTATTTCTATAAATTTTGAAAAAATTGCAATTATATAGACATTACGTAAAAAAGATCTGAAATTATTCTTTTGACAATGACATGTTTCATTTTTTTCTTCAATTTTACAATAATGCCGGGTTGTTTCATATTTCTGTATATTGCTAAGAAAAAAATAACGGAATTTTATCAACATTAGGTGATGAAATAATATAATTCTATTACCACCAGAGTTTTTTTTTCTAAACCAAAAATATGGAAAATTAATAAATGTCCACTCACATCAGAGCGTCATTCTATTTGGTGACACCCATGCATCCATTAATATGCTATAACTTTTGATTATAAAGTCTCAAACTATTTTGTACGTTAGAGTAATTTAATAGACGACATATCTTATTGAATAAATAGCTCAACATCAAAATCCATTTTCGATCAAAATTAACTTGTGAAGAAAATATTTGTTCAGAAAAATTAACTTTCTTCATGCAAAATTTATGTTTAATAACAAAACAAAACCTAAAAAGGTTCATATGGACAAGCATGATTAATAAATATAAGAATATTATAGGTCAAACATCACATGTCCATGTCCAT